GGGGATTGTGCTGCAGGTCCCGTAATAAAGGGGGGGTGCAGTCGCGCCGCCCGCAACGCGCGTGCCCGCCGCGCGAGCGCGCAGGGCGGCGGGGGTCGAGCCTTGGCCGCCGAGCGGGCCTGCGCTCGAGGTTGTGATCGCCGTGTGCCGGTCGACAGAGACGCTGTCGCAGTGCGCTTCGAGGATCCGGTCAGTGCTGCGCCTCCTCCGCGCCCCCGCGGGGGAGCTGGGCGCCATGGGGGGCATCGTGAAGGGGGCGCAGGAATGCGAGGACCGGGCGGTGCGGCGGTATCGCGCCAGGGCGAGTGCGGAACAGACGCGCGAGCTGGCGGCGTGGTTCCGGCGTGAAGCTGGGCGCGACTGCGTGGTTGATTCTTTCCTTGTAGCCAGGCCTGCGCGAGCGTGCCGAGGGGGGAGGGCCGGGTTCCTTCCCGTCGGTGCTCTTCGTGCCCTAGGCAGTTCTGCTTAAGGTTTGGGGCGGAAGTCGTCGGCCTGAATGGCAACGGCCACTCGGCGGTGTCGACGTTCGAGGAGGCGTCCCCAGCGGCCGCGGGCACGGGGGGGCGGGGGGGCGCGCGCGCGCCGCCCCGTTCCGCGTCGCAGGCCGGCAAGAGAGGCGCTTGTATTACTCTGGCACTGCGCAAATGCCGCAGGGAGCCCGAGCAATTGTGGCGGAAGAGTGTGTGCGACATCCAGGGGCGGCGCCTCTGCGGGGTCTGTGTGCTGCACCGCAGGGCGTCGCGCGCTGGGTCGCTTGTGTTTCCGGGCCTGACATGCGCGGATTCGCTGTCGCTGTTAAAGCTAGCTGCGATGGCGCTGGCACTGCCGCGCGCGGCGGAATGGGGTGCCCATGCTTTCCGCAGGGGCATGGCCGACGAGGTGCTCAGGTCGCAGGGCCTGGCGGCCATGTTCGCTCAGGGCGGGTGGCGCAGCGTGGCAGCCTGGGCGTGCCCGTCAGCCAGGGCTGTGAGCGAGACTCTGGCGGCGGAGGAGGCCATTGGGCACTCGGACAGCTCCGAGGGGGAGGGGCCTGTATAGAGGGTGTCGGACAGCTCCGACTCCGAGCGAGAGGGCCTCAGCGATGCCGTGCGCACGACGCATGCGTTGGGGTGCGAGGGACAGGGCGGGGCAGAGCTATGGGGGGGGTGTGCGCCGGCTGGCGCGGCGGGCTGCGGCTGGGCGTGCATTGGGTCGGCGTGCGGGGTGCGCCATGGGGTCGCCCTGCGCCGCGAGCCCGACCGTCCTGTCCGCCGCGCCAAGACGTCTGTGCCCTTTGCTGGCGCGGCGCTGCACCGAGGGAATTTATATGCCCTGTAAATCGGAGGTTTGGCAGGCGTATAAATTCCTGGTGCCGTCCCGCGTTCGACTACCTCCGTACCTCTGTCACTCAGTCGCTCTTTCGCTCCTCCGAGCCTGGCGCTCTTGACTCAGTCGCTCTTTCGCTTCCCCGAGCCTCGCGCTGCTCGCCAGGGCTGTAGTGCTGCTGCCTCGTCTGTCGGTCTCGAGTCTCGGGTGGGCCGCCGTGCCTCTCGCTGGCGGCCCGTGCCCACCGTCCGCCCGGGTCCGTGGCGGGATAGCAAGTAACGGCCGAAGGGTAGGCGGGTCCCTGCGGGGGCCCAGGGGCCCGCGAGGGCCAGGGGCAGGCGGGCCCCCGAAGGGGCCCACGCGCTTGCGGCCGAAGATTATGTGTCCCATGGCAGGCGGGCCCCTGCGGGGGCCCGCGCGCCTGCGGGCTTCCCTTTTCCCCACCCTCACCACCCCTTGGCCTCTCGGCTTTTTTTTGGGGGGGCTTGTCGGGGGAATCTGTAGTGCAGCGCAGGCGGCCAGGCTACGGGGTCGGGTCGGCGTGCGGGGTGCACCATGGGGTCGCCCTACGCCGCGAGCCCGACCGTCCTGTTCGCCGCGCCAAGACGTCTGTGCCCTTTGTTGGTGCGGCGCTGCACCGAGGGAATTTATCATCGGTTTCATCATTATCACCATCATCATCCTCATCACCCACATCCTCATCCTAATCCGTTTCGTCATCATCTTCATCGTCACCATCATCATCATCGTCATCGTCATCGTCATCCCTATCACCATCGTCACTACCATCACCATCGCCGTCATCGTCATCACCACCATCATCGTCGCCGTCATCATCATCACCATCACCGTTATCATTTATCGTTATCGTCATTATCACCATCATCATCATCGTCGTTATCATCATCAACATCATCATCATCGTCATCATCATCATCATCATCATCATCATCATCAGCGCCCCCGCGGAGGAGTCCGCTGGCCCGAATCCCGCCGGCTTCCCCGGCGGGCCCAGTCCGCGCCGACCAGGTCCATCCGGTCTTGGACCGCGTCCCGCGACGGCAAGCGCCGAGGTGCCCATGAGCTGAGGGAGCGCTGCCCAGGAGTTGCGCAAACGTTCGCGGCACACGTATCGTGTTAGAGACTAAATGCACTGCTTGTGCATTCGAGCGCACATAATTTCTTGCAGCTACGTGCAAGCGTCTTCTTCCTTACATGACTGCAAGTGAGTGCAAATGTCGCCCAAGAGTAGTGCCAAACGGCTACAAGACGCAAGCACCTTCCTTGATACGCGCAGCGGAGGCTTTGCCTCCTGCTCGGTAAGCCACGCGTGCAGCGTCCATGCCAAGGTGCGGCGCAGACGCCTGCGGCACACGCGTTGGGAAGCAGCAGAAGAGTTCGGCGGTGAGCGATGGGGGAAAGTGAAAAGGAAAAGGCCTTCTCAGAAGGTTCGAAAGAGCGTGTTCTACCGCTGCTGGCGGAAAACCGGGGGGGGCCACTACCGGTTCGAACCCCTCCCCCCCCCAGCTCATCATGAAAAGGGTGGGGGGTCACTACCGGTTCGACACCCCCCCCCTCGAAAACCGGGAGGGGGTCACTACCAGTTCGAACCCCCCTCCCCCACCCCCCCTCGAAAACCGAGGGGGGGTGCGGACAGTGGTGGGGACGGTGGTGGTGGTGGGGACAGTGGTGAGGGGACAGCGGGACAGTGGTGGGGACAGTGGGACAGTGGTGGGGACGGTAGTGGTGGGGACAGTGGTGAGGACAATGGTGGGAACAGTGGGGACAGTGGACAGTGGTGGGGACGGTGGTGGTGGGGACAGTGGTGTGGGGACAGTGGGAATGAGGTGGAAACAGTGGGACAGTGGAGGGTACAGTGGTGGTGGGGACAGTGGTGAAGGCGGTGGCGAGGACGGCGGTGGGACAATGGGACAGAGGTACAGTGGGGACAGTGGTGGGGACAGTGGGGACAGTGGTGGGAACAGTGGGACAGCTCAGTGGGACAGCGGAGGAGTCAGTGGGACAGTGGGGACAGTGGGGATAGTCGGGCAGTGGTTGGGGCCGTGGAGAAAGTGGGGAGAGTGGAACCGTGGTGGGAACAGTGGTGGGGACAGTGGGGACAGTGCGACAGTGGTGGGGGCACTGGTGGGGACAGTAGGGACGGTGGTGGAACCAGCGAGGACAGTGGTGGTGAGGACAGTGGTGCTGGGAACAACAGTGGGGGATGTGATGCGGACGGTGGTAGGGACCAGCAGTCGTTTGCTGGCGGTGAGTGGGGGGCGTGGGGAGGGGTTCGAACCAGTAGTGACCCCCCCTCCGGTTTTCGAGGGGGGGGCTTCGAACCGGTAGTGACCCCCCTTGGTTTTCGAGGGGAGGGGGGGGGAGGGTTACGGGAGGGGGGGGGCGGGTTTGCCGGGGGAGGGGAGGGGGGGGGGGGGGGTTCCAGCAGGGGGCCGGATTTTCGGAGGGGGGGGGACCCCCAGATTCTGGAGGAAGAGGGGGGCAATTTTCCACAGTAAAGCGGCGGTGGGTCACGCTCTCTCATCGGTTCGGATGTCCCCCGGCCTTCTGAGAAGTTTCCTGAGCCATCCTCGAAGGCACAGAAAACCTCTCCGAAGGCGCGAGGGCTTCTGAAAAATCCCCCCGCCTTCTGGGAATGTCTTCTCCTTCTCGCTTCCCCCCAGTCGCTCGCCGCCGGTCCGAGGACCAACGGCACTCGAGACAGGTCGGCCATTTTGGTCAAATCGACGCTGGAGGTCTGGGCTCGTCGCCCCTTGCCTCTAGGCTCCTCAGACGGGGTCCGAGTAGATGGGGGCCGCATGATCGCGCCGCATCGCCGAGGCATCGCCGATGCGGCTCGATGCGGAGTCCGATTTCCTCCTCGCCGACGGCGCCGATGCATCGTCAATGCCGATGCATCGCCGATGCAGCGGCGATACATCTGCGATAGACCACGATGGCCGACCTCTCTCGAGTGCCGTTGGTCCTCGGACCCGCGGCGAGCGAGTGGGGAAGTGAGAACGAAAAGAGCTTCCCAGAAGGCGGGGGGACTTCTCAGAAGCCCTCGCGCCTTCTGAGAAGTTTTTTGTGCCTTCGGGGAAGGCTCAGGAAACTTTTCAGAAAGCCGGGGGACATCCGAGCCTTCTGAGAAGGCCTTTTCTTTTTCACTTTCCCCCATCGCTCGCCGCCGACTCTCTTTCTCTCCCCAGAACCCCTCGGCTCATGAAGAAATCACGGCGCAACGTACTTCGCCATCTTCGGCCCTTGCGGGCCTTACCCGGCCTTGGGACCGTCAGCAAACGACTCCGGATTAGCTGCCGGCCCTGGGGAACGAAGCCTTTGGGGTCGACGCTCTGAACAAGTCGTGTCGTCGGGGGTTTTGGTCTCTCTCTCTCTCTCTCGCTCCGGGCACGCGTCCGCGCTGCCGCTGCACTCCGTCTCGGCCCCCCAAGCGGTGTGGTGACACCCCGCGTGGAAAGTCCGCGGGGATTCGGGGTCACCGCACGGGGTTGGGACTCGGGTGGTTGTCCAGAGACGTCTCTGGCGACCATGGCCTCCAAGGTCCCAAGATCGTGCGGTGACGGACCGCGGGATGGGATCGCTGGGTATCCTGAGGTGGCCACGCGATCCGTCACCGCACGGCCTTGGGGCCCCGAGCTCCCTCTGGCTGCGAGGGGTTGGGGGGCCAGCCGCAGGTGGGGGAAGAGCCGCGAGAAGCAGTCGATCACCGTGAGGGACTCCAAGGCCCAGCCGAAGGCGGCGGGGGGGGGAGGGCGATCGGCTTGTCACTCTCGCGGCCCGCAGCCTTCCCTTCTCCTCTGGTAAGGGGACAAAAGATGGAACCCCTTCAGGTTCGACCCCGTGTTGGCCCCCCCCCTCCAACCAGATTCAACGTTGGGTCCAGCCTTGCAGAGGCCCTGGGGGTTCTTCCTCTCACGCCTGTGCTGCCCCAAGCCTGGGACCAACTTTGAATCTGGGTGGAGGGTGGGGTGGCGGAATCAAGATTTTTTTTTTTTTTTTTTTTTTTCTTCTTCCATTTACGGTCCCTCCCTCCTCTCCCTTCAGTTTGTGGCTCTTCGCTCCGTCTGCTGCCCTCTTGACTCCGTGCGTTGGGCCGCCTGGGACTCAGGGCTGGGCCTCCCTTCGCTGGCGAGGGTGACGATCGGAAGCAGAGTACTCCAGATCTTGGGCCCTGTTCTCGCCTCCATCGTTCCTTTCTCCTGCTCGTCACCATCTGACTTCTGATCTTGTGCATGATCAGCGCACGTGGAAGCACAGCGTTGTGCAGTAATGTCAGCGTCCACGCGCCTTCTGCGTGTGACTTGTGTTGCTGTGCTGGTGTGTGCTGCCCTCCATCTTCACGGGGAAGCGTAGGTCCTCGCTGCCAGCCCGCACCGGGGGGGGCACCACACTGGAGTTCAATCAAGAGAGAAAGAGACGTAGAGAGAGAGAGAGAGAGAGAGAGAGTTGTGTTTTAGGATTGCCTTGCATCGAGGGCGACAGGTCACCTGCCGTCCGATTTTCCTCGTGCTCCATCTTGCCTCCTCCCCATTCCTCTTTTCCTCTGTCCTCCTCCCCCGTCCCCCTCGGTCCCGTCGGGCCCAGATGGGCTTGCCGTTCGCCTCTGCAGCAATGGTTTTTGATCCTTCCTCGTGGACCCTGAGGACCCGACCCGCGAGCCTCGACACGTAGCTGATGGAGAGGACATCCAGGACAACGCCACACCGCTCCAGCGCTGATCCAAGAAAGCCGCGCGGACCGTCGAAAGGTGATGTTTTTGCCGTGTTTCTGTTTCGAACGGCGGTCGCACGACTGACTGGCTTCCGCGGCCGGGCCAGTCGTCTTCTCATCGCCACGTCAGCAGCAGGAGGCCGCTTGCGGCTCGCGTATCCTCTCCACGGTTCGAGCTGCCCTTCCTGCGCATTGTTCTCACGCAGAGGATTTCAAAGCTTATCATTTCATATTTTCTCGATCGGACTATCCGTGAGGGCTCCGCCCTCTGCCGCCTGCCTCCTCCCTATCACAATGGCATGTATAAGCCCTATACTGGGATGTGTGGGCGCCGTCTAGAGGCAATGTGTGAATCTCATGGGAGGACGGCTTGCGATCCGCAAGACATACTGAATTTTCGAAGTTCTCGTTGCACGCTTTGATGCCTTGCTAGAGTGTTTCCCTCATGATGTGGCCTTGAGGCCCTTTTGAAACGGCTGAAGGTTGCTCGAGGCCATCTTGGGCTACACCGCGCGTTTGCTATTTTCGAGGATCCGTGGCGTCGGGTTTGAGAATGTTCAGGACACGGCACTGTGAAGGAGGAAGGGCAAAGGCGAGAGGTATCGAGCGTTTGTCCGCGGCCATATTGGCCCAGTGACCGGCCACCTATCTGACCGGGCCGCACCGCGGCCCGCTACCTCAAATCGAGACAGGAAAGGTTCCACCCTTTACTCTTGAGATGTATCCTCGGCGCTCACGCGGCTCTTTCCTACATCTGGCACTATCGCTAATACGATACAACAGGGTTGGACGCATGCTTCGCCTTGGGCGAAGCATCTGGTTGGGCCTCCCAACCAGCTTTAAACTTGGTGGCGGAGCTGCCCGTTAGTGGTCAGCTCTAGCTCTACTCCTTCTGATCCATGGCTCTATCTGGTGGACTACCGACATGGTGGAACATCAGGGTGAAGTGGCTCTACGTGGAGGAACATTATAGGTAGCACCCCGCAATTGTGGATAAGAGTGAGGGGGCGGGCGCGGGCGACGCGGGCGTCGAGCCGGCGGACCTCGTGGCCTTCAACTTCCCAGTCGATGGCGCCCTCCTCCTCCTCCTCCTCCTCCTGCTTCTCCTCCTCCTCCTCCTCTTCCTCGTCCGCGTCCTCGTCCTCATCATCGTCGTCGTCGTCCGCCTCCTCCTCCACCACCTCCTCTTCCTCCCTACTCCACCTGCTAGGGCACCTTTTTCAGGCCGTACTTCATGAGATACTGGGCCACCATGGGGCGATCAGTTGCTGTGCTTCTGCGCCTCCTTGAGCATTCCCGCGATGGCCGTCGCCGCCGAGCTCGCATCCTTCTGGATGCTGTTGGCCTCGTCCTGCGTGATCGTCAACGCCGCGCCGCTGTGCACGCGCTTCTGCGCCGCCGCCTTCATGCCTGCCACAGACTTCCTCGCCGCCTTCGCGTTCTTCACAGCCCATGACGGCACTTTGTCCGCCTTCTCATGATCGAGGTACCCGTCCAGCTCTGTCTCGAGCCTCGTTGCGATGCCGATCCGCTTCAGCGCCAGGTTCTTCTCCTGCGTCTCCTTCTTGGCCTGCTCGGCCTTCTCCTTCGCCTCCTGCCGCCTCCGCTCCTTCTCCGCGTCCTTTTCCCTGCGGAGCCTTCGGGGTTGTTCGAAAATGACAACACTTCGAGCCGAGCGAAATCAATAACCCGATCCGAACACGAAGAGTTGAACAGAAACCGAACACGAATGTGAAGCCCAGGCGACACCCCTGCGTTGAAGCCCCAAACGGCCTGCTCTTGCTCCTGTCCTTGCTCTTGCCGCGGCTCTTGCTCCTGCCCTTGCGGCGTCTCTTGCTCCTGTCGCGGTCGCCGCGCGAGCGGCTCCTGCTGCGGTTGGTGTCGCGACGTCTGCTCCTGCTGTCGCGCCTGCTCCTGCTGCGCCTCCTCCTCCTGCGGCTGTCAGACCTGCGCCTGCGGCGCCGCCTGGATCTGGATCTGTCGCTCTTTTCGCTTCTGTCGCTCCTGTCGCCGCCGTGCTCTGCGACGCCCGTCGAGGCCGCTGCCCGCGCGCCGCTCTGCTTCGCCTGCGTCCTCTTATCGGTGTACAGCTCGTTGCGCACTGCGGCCTCCGCTGTCTCGCTCCAGGCCGCCTCCAATTGCGGCCTGTACGTCCACTCCCCGAGATCAGGGTTCCACCTCTTATCCTGCACATTCTCTTCGATCTTTTTCGCGTCGAAGCCGTCGTGCGCCCACTTCAGCGGAAGGTACTTGCCACCCTTGCGGACGCGCTCCTCCTCCATCCGTTGGACAGTGATTGAGCTGACCACGAAGGCTTCAATGCGATCGAGGTTCGACAGCCCAGGATCTTCTGCCATATCCTTGTAGAACTGCTGCTTGAACTCACTCTTCATTTTAGCGAAAAACTTTGGCGGCCACGGTCCGAACCTCCGAGAAAGGCGCACCCCGTCCGTGTTGCACGCGTCGCACTGGTAAGTCCACTGACCCTTCGTTCTGATCCTGTAGTTGCACTCCTTCGCCGTGCGACAGCAGCGGCTGCAACGCACGACCGTGCTATCCCCGATGCCATGTACCTCTTCGAACTCCCCTACCTGGCGACTGCCTGCTGGCGGATCACCCTCCGACTGTTCGTCCTGAGCTGCCTCCTCCTCCTCCGCCTGCGGCGCTGCCGCCTCGGGCGAGCGCTCTTCACTTGTATGTGCAGCATCGGGCGAGTGCCTCTCAACCTTGGCTGCCGCGTCCTGCGGTGGAGTCTCTTGCTCCTCAAGCTCGCGCTTGGCACCCTCAAGCTCCTCCTGTTTGACGCCGCGCTCGGAGCCAATCTCGTGGCCGCGCTCCTCGGAGCCCGATGCCGCCTCTGGCGCTGCGTCGTCTGGCTCTGGCGAGTCCGCCGCACCCTGCGGTTCAAGCGTCTCTGCTGGCAAACCCGCTGCGCCCTGAGGAGGCAGTTCCTCGGCGGGAGCTGCGTCTGACGCAGCTTTGCGAGCCGTCATCCTCGACGCTGCGGGGTGGCTACCTTTGCCCTTGCCTTTGCTTTTTCCCGCATGCCGTCGGCGGTCCTGCATCGGTCAATGGGGGCGGCGGCGCAGGCTTTCCCGTCAGTGTCATCTGTGCCCCCGCTGGCTTAGCTTTCCCACGGGGCTTCGCTGCGGGCGCCTGTGTCATCGCTCCTTTTTTTTTTTTTTTTTTTTTTTTTTTTTTTTTTTTTTTTTTTTTTTTTTTTTTTTTTTTTTTTTTTTTTTTTTTTTTTTTTTTTTTTTTTTTCTTTTTTTTTCTTTTTTTTTCTTTTCCGGCCTGGCTGTTGCGAGCATCCGTGCCGAAGACTCCTGCCGGCGATGTTCAGCGGGCGGCGTCCCCGCCGCTGGCGGCGTGGCCGCCTTGGCGCGCGAGAAGCCGCGCGTCGCGCGCGGCCGCGTGCTGTCGAGAGAAATGTTGTCAAGATGAGATGGGCGCGAAGCGATGGCGAAGAAAACGCGCGGTAAGTGAGGCGGGCTAGCCGCCAGCGGACTAGCCGCTTCAAAGGTGGAGGGAGGGGTGGGGGGAGGTATGAAGGGGGCGGCGTATCCGCCAGCGGACTCGCCGCTTGAGAAGGTGCATGGGGTGCGGCGAGGGAGGCGGATTGGCCGCCAGCGGACTAGCCGCTCGAAGCGTGGCAGACGCACGAGGTGGCACGGATGCTGAAATGAATTGTGCGTAGCATGCCAACCGCGCAAAACTGACATAATGTTATCATATGCTATCATTTGTTATCAGGCGTGTGGTAACACCATGATAACACCGGCTAACATGTGATAACATGTTTTCAGGTGTTAGCAGGTGTTATCAGGTGTCATCAGGCGCGTGAAAACATGTGATAACATATGATAACATCCGTCGCTTTTTGATACACAAGCATGACTGCATTTTTTCGCATTGGCGGCGTAGTGGAACCTCCGCCGAGGTCGCGAAGCGGAGCAGCGGGCGGCGGAGCGGCGCCCTGTGCTACGTGCTACAAACCGCGGAGGGCGAAGAGGCGGGCGGGCGCG